GATAAACTGATGTTAAATTCAGCTTAAAGAGAAACTGGGAGGACATTTTGGTTCATTTGAAGTTACAGGAGGTCATGTTTCATACCTGTCCCCCCCCCCCCCTGCTTCTGGGTCTTTTTTGTGAGTGGCCCTCAGACCATTATAACTGAGGACCCCTGGTGTAACTAACTGCTTTACCCTGCTGGAGGTAGCCATCAGAAGATGGGTCCACTGGGGTCAAAGAGGACGGCAGTCCTTATGACTCTCCCTTGCACTGAATCACTGCCATGTGATTGGCTTATTTGAAAGCAGTTAGACAGATCAGATGTATCTAATAAAGAGGCCTTTCTCTTTGAAAATATTGTATCATCAGTCTATCTAAACTAGAATTATTGTATATTTCCTTCTCTGCTGAGCCTACATGATGGGTTCAGGATTGATCGGAGCTTCATATGACCATTCAGGAATCTTAATTTAGTGTCATAATTTCTTGTTTTATTTAATGTAATTTTTTTTCTGTAATCTGGGGTTAAGCTTGGCCACAGGAGCAGCCAGCACCACATGAATTAATAGGTCTGTGGCAGCAGCCACTTAACAGGAGCCCTGCAGCTACATATTGAGCTGAGTCGAGTGCTCTCATACAGAAATTGATTTAGACAGAGATTATGTCATTTGGCACTGCCTCTTTTTTCTGGTGAAGTTTATCCACTGAATTCCACCTTAAATGGTAAACCAATAAAAGGAAAATCAAACGTTTTTATTTTCCTCAAAGGTTTTTAGGATCCCATACTGGATTTGTTTTGTTGTTGATGTTTTTCGTCTGGTATGGATAATAGTGTAAAAAAAATAATGCTATGATTGTTGTGGGTGGGACTGATCACTTTATTTTTAAGAGTAAAAAATATGGTAAAAATGCTAAAATGGTTGTCGATTTGATTTGTATTTTTAGTTGCAGTAATTTTGTTACTTGATCACATATTTAATCTGTCTCTTTGTTGTAAACCATGGCACCTTAACAAGCTGATTGATGTCTATAGGACAAAAATAAGATGAGCTTAAAAATGGTCTTAGGGTTCTACAACCACCCAAGGCGCTTCACAACACAACCAGTCATTCACCCATTCACACCCTGGTGGGGATGAGTTACGATGTAGCCTCAGCTACCCTTGGGTGCAGTGACAGAGGCGAGGCCTGTTGAGCACTGGCACCACCGGTCCCTCCGACCACCATCAGCAGTCAAGGTGGGTTAAATGTTTTGCCCAATAACACAACAGCAGTATCCTCTGGTCGGAGCCAGGATTGAACCTGCAACCTTCCAATTACTGGACAACCCGCTCTACCTCCAGTTACTGCTGTTTATTTTTATTTTTTTCAGCTAGGCATATGCATTTACTCTCAGGCTTTTATTGTAAAGTGTTTTAAAGGAAGTTGTGTTTAGGATGGGATGGTAGTCAGACGCCAGCTATTCTTTATGGAGTTGCTGAGCCAATGCGCATATCCTCTGATTACAATAACAAGATTTAAACATAGAAGACAAGAAAAAAAACTGATAAAAATTTTATTTCATAAACAAACAACTTTGCATTCATTTAGCAAACTCCGTATTAGAATAAGTATAAGTGCCAGGTGTGTGTGTGTGTGTGTGTTATACGAGTGGAGGAGAAGCCGCTTTGACTTCTGATAACCGAACAGGTGGACGTACTGTAAATGGCTCTTGTTTACCTGAAGTCAGGCATAATTTATTTTTCTGTCATTTTAGAGTTTCCAACGTAAAATTCTAATTCACTGTTAGCATTGTTAGCTTAACGTTAGCTTCTAGCCTGCATCACCTGATAATAGGATAAAACAAAAAGATGCCGTGGCTGCTTAGGGGTACAGGAAATAACTTCTGGGTTGCTCCTGTTTACTGGCATCAGTTCTTTAAATAACTGGAGCTTCATGCCTGCCAGTGTTTATTTACAAATGCTGACGCTGCAGCACTAGCTTGCTGCAAACTCTGCAACCTCACCAACCTACTGATTGTAAACGGTAACTACATCCTTTTTTGTTTTTTTGAAAGGACAAAAAGTGACAACCCTCCAGCCAGCTGAGAATGAAATCTGTTTCCTTCCAACTTGATTGAGGCATTAAATTGTAGTGTGATTATTTCAATGTAGAATTCTGACATATTGCTCCTTTAAAGCACTGATTAGTTTCTTTCCTTGCATTGCATGACTGAAGAGACCATTTTAAAGTTTCAGTTGAAGTTCAGCCACATACCGCTTTACTGCAGCTTTTGAATCTCATGTTAGACTAGGTTGAACTGTGAGTTTTAAAATGAAAGCCTAGAAAATGTCACCAAGGTAACCATTGAAATGGTTTCATCCCTTGTTTAAACTAATTCTTATGTAGTAAGATCACCTTTGGAAAAAAAAAAGAAGAGTAAAATGAAGTCATGTCACTCGATCTTAAAAGAGCTCATTCAGCTCCCAGTGGTTGGGACAAATCTGAAAAGATTTTTTTTCCCCATTTCCCGTCTTGATTGATGCTTTTAATTTTCAAGGAGCTGTCACCGAGGCCCATTGGCCTTGGGTTTTGCAATCAAGGGGCGGACAGTCAAAGGCTTTCAAATGAAAGAGTTCATTAATGTGGTGGGAAATAAGGCTCGTCTCTCTGTTGAATATTGGCTCAGTGTGTGGAGCGATCGGAGCAACTGATGAGGATTTGTGAGCGAGGACGTTCGAGAGGGGACCACCTCAATCAGGGCTATTAAACGACATTAATAGGACCAGAGAGGAAATGGGAATCCTCAAAGGTGCGTGTATCCAAACATCCCAAAATGCACCTTGGTGCTGCTGCCGAGGCAGAGAGAGTTATTGGCTGTTAGGCCGTGGTTCACATGCAGAGAAGACGTGGCCGGTTAAATCTTTCGAAAATCCAATTCCAGTGAAGATGAGATTCCTTTCTCCATGCCTTGTTCCATTTTCCGTCGCAATCATTGGACATCGATCGGATCCAGAGCCATGTATTTCTGTTTCAGCCGTCAAGTCGGGAATTGACAAGTACGGTAGATAAGATAAATAACTGTAGAACTTTACATGCTACTTCGTTTGCTGACAAGAGCTGTGACAACAGGAAATATTGGGCAATTTTTCTGCTTAGCAGCTGGCTTTGGGCTGTTTTCTATCTGAACCGATGGGAAGACCCGAAATTAACATTATTCTTGTTCCTTACAGTCTAACATGAGGGCGTTTATTTGAAATCAAGAATATTTGCAAGCAACTTGACCCGAGAGTAAGAATCAGGCTGATGGGTACTAAGTTGTGGGACAATAATAAAGCAGCACATTAACTCCCCCCACTGTAACCATAAGTACGTCTCTCATCACATCACTGTTTAAAACTGCTTTTATTTAGATTAGAACATTTTTTAGAGGATGGAAATATTATACT